ATATTTGTATTACATGAACTCAACTTGTTAGTTTAATTACCAAAAACTTATAAATGTAATTTAATTAGAGATCATGTTAGAAAGAACCTCATTACCTTGGGTATTTGGTCGGGATATTTGATTGCTGGTAACAGTAATGCTTACTTTGTGTTCCTATTCTTGTGTTGCAAACACATGGCTCGCAATTCGATAAGTTTCTTCTCTTCCTGTAGATCGGACCGAACGTCTCCGCAGTATATTTGAGATGCATCTATGATTCGCGCCGGTCGACCCTCAGCAGTGTACATATTATTCTGGATCGGGACGTACGACCTCGACAAAACTCGTGCATAATATCACTAGGAGTCCGAATAATCATGAGATTTCCCTTTTAGTTGAGACCTGACATTTATATGATATTTCTTATCTGTTTGAGATAGCACTTGATATTTCTTACCTATTGAGATATTATATGAGATTTGAGAAATTTATTTTATCATAATGTTGGAAAATTTTCGTTAGTTACAGTTCTTACCTCATTATTTCTATTTTATTTCATATTCATTTATAATTTAATATATTGATTCATTGGACCACTAGTAAGTGTCGATGTCAACCCCTCGTCACTACTTCTCTGGGGTTAGGCTATATACTTACTAGGTACGCATTGATTTATGTAGTCATGCTACACTTCTGCGCTTATTGTGCAAATATACTTCTGATGGTCATTTGGGCTCAAGGGAACAATTATTGAAGGGACTTTACGGTGAGCTGCATCCCATTATACGATCTGCAACACATGGAGTTTCCACCATATTCATTTATGTTATCCTATCTATTTTGTATTCCAGACAGATGTTTTATTGGTGTTGCACTTCCTAGTGGATGTTCGTACACTTATGACACCAAGTTTTGGGATATTCTAAAAGATGTTAATGGTTTTGCTTAAATATTGTCACCTTTTTATTTTATATCTTACTGTATCCATGATTTTCAATGCATTAATTTCTTTATTTAGTAAAATTCATGGTTTCAAAAGTAATAAAATGAATAAGTAAGTTGATAGTTTATTGTTGGCTTGCCTAATGGAGACGTTGGGCACCATCACGACCTATAGCGTACAGTGCATGTATTTCACTATTTGCCAAGAATTTGGTTATCTAGTTTCAGAGTAATATTTATTTTGCTTTAAAAAAGTTTGTTTGGGGGGGGGGGGGGGGGGGGGGGGAGGGGGTGATAAGACCCCACAAGATAAGGTATGTAGTTGAAACTTCGGCCTTAGTTCAAGGGGTACTTATACATATTTCCATGGTTTAGAGATAATCCAAAGGGTTTGAGAGTGATTCAGATCTATCTTGTGAAATTGGAACTTAAAGAACTTAAGAAAGTTCATATTTTGGTTTGGATTTTGATTCTTAGATGTGATGTTTACATATATATTTTGAGACTTTTGACAAGTTTTATACGACATATGGACTATTTGGAATGATCGGAGGGGTCTCAAATACCTCAGATGGATTTTGAACAAGTTTGAGCATTTCAGCACTTTACTGATATTCTATAGCTTTTTTGAAGTGCCGAAGGAACTTTTTGAAGTGTGGAGGGAACTTTTCAAAGTGTTGAGGCAATGCCTTGAATGCTGAGTCTATGGAACAAGTTCTAAGGTAATGGGACAAGTGCTGGGGCAATGGCCAAAGTGCAGACCGCAGTGCGGGCAACAACAAGAGAGTTGTAGGTCTATTGGTTGATCTCGGAAGCTTATATCTTATAATCTATAATAAATTTGTGTTTGATCCAAAATAAAAGTCGTACCCATTGAGTCTAGTTTCCATAAGTTCAAACCATTCATCATTTAGACATTCGTATAAAGTATTATGATCATTTTACTAAAGAGCGGTAGTACAGTACTGTTGTTATCATGCAAAGTGCAGCCATAGGGCGTGGATTGTGGATGACAATAGGAGTGCGACCATGAGTGCAACATGTACTACGAAAGTGCGGCCAATACTGTTTAGGGCCAGAAATTTAAACCCTTCATCATTTCGACATTCGTATAAATCTCATATGACACACCATACAAGTAATGTCTCCAAATCTTGAGTTTATACATAATAACTACCAACTTCAAATTGTTAACCGGGTAATTCTTCTCATGAGGCTTCAATTGCCTTGATGCATAAACAATCACTCTACCCTCCTAGATCAATACAACAGCAAAACCAATATGTGAAGCATCAATATACCGTGTATGACCCTATCTATGGTCAACATCAACATTGAGGGATGTAGTCTTAAACTTTTGATAGCTATCTTCACACTCATTATACCATCTAAAAGAACGCTTTTTTGAGTCAACTTCGTCAATGGAGATGCAATAGATGAAGAACTCTCTATAAAATGACGATAGTAGCCTGCCAAATCTAAAAAACTCATAATCTCCATAGTTGTAGTAGGTCTAGGACAATTCTGAATTGCCTTAATCTTCCCGGGATCAACTTTAATACTATCACCAGACACCACGTGACCCAAGAGTACAACTTAGTCCAACCAAAACTTACACGTTAAGAACTTAGCATAAAGCTTCCATTCCCTCAAAAGCTGAAGCACAATCTTCCAGTGATGCTCATGTTCCTTTACGCTATGAGAGTAAACCAGAATATTATCAATGAACACTATCAAATAAGAATCTAAATAAGGCTTGAACACCTTGTTCATCAAATACATGAATGTGCTGGACCATTAGTCAAACTAAATAACATCACAAGAACTTATAATGACCATAGCGTGTCCTAAACGCCATCTTAGGGATATTTAAAGTCCTAATCTTCATCGGATTATAACCCGATCTTAAGTCAATCTAAGAGAACACCCTAACACCTTGAAGTTAATCAAACAAAATCATCAATACTTTTTAATGGTGGTAACTTTGTTCAACTGTCTATAATTAACACATCCTCATATTACCATCTTCTTCTTCACAAACAACATGGGTGCAACCCTACGAGTAACACTCGGTCTAATAAATCCCCTATCCAGTAACTCTTGTACTTGCCTCTACAACTCAGATGGAGCAATGCAGTATGATAAAATAGATATGGACTGTGTGCCTGACACCAAGTTAATACCAAAATTAATATCCATATCCGATAGCATACCCCATAAATTCATAAGGGATGCCTCCAAAAACTCTCTCACTATTGGTACTGAATCAATGGAAGGAACCTCTATACTAGTATCTCGGATTAAAGACAAATATATTAAGACCCCATTTGTTTTTTAAAGATTAAGACGTCTAAATTTGAATGCACATCTGGATATTAAGATATGTATTAAGATTAAAACGTCTGGATCTGAATACACATCTGAATATTTAAGATATGTATTAATATCTGAATAATAAATGATTATGACTATTTGATTTTCAACATCTGAATGTATAAAATTTATCCTTATTTAATTGGTGGTGGTGATGGTTGACCAGTGGTAAAACCAGAAATTTTTCTAAAGGTGTTCAAACTTGAACGAAGTAAAAAAAATTGCCAACAAAGGGTGTTCAATATATATTATATACCTCTAAAACTTAATATTTTACCTATATATACCGTATAATTTTTCGATGAAAGATGGTCAATTGACCACCCTTAAGTGAATGTAGCTTTGTCCCTGTGGTTGACGGTGGTGCTTATGGATGCCAACTGGAGGCGGCGATTGGTGGTGGTTTTAATTGATGGTGGTGGTTCTAGGTTGTAGCTAGTGGTGATTGGTAGTGGTAATTATGGTTGAAGAAGGTGGTGGTGGGTGGTGATAGTTTATAATGTGGACAATGGCGACTATGGTTGTTGATGGTGGTGGGGTGACTGATTGTAGTAGTTGAGGTGGGTAGGTGGGTGGTTGTGATTGAGGATGGTGGTAGTGACATTAGTTGATAATGATGGGGTGGGTGGATGGTGGTAATTAATAATGGCAGGATCGAGGGTAATGGAAGTCGATAATGATAGCAATGACAACTATGGTTGAGGATGGTGATGGTCGGTGATGGTGTTTGAGTTTGGTGGTAGTTGGTGGTGGTGGTTGAGTATATGGTGGTTGGATGGTGCATGGTGGTAGGTGATAATGGCAGGCGGTGGCGACAGTTAGTAGTGAATGTGGATGATAGCTTCTTAATGAAATGAAGTCTTTGTTATAGATTTTAATCAATAAGACCTATTTAGACCCATTAAGTAGTTGAAAATTAAGAAAAATAAATACACTTAATTATTAAGATCTGAATGATTAAGATTCAGACTTAAAGACACACAATAGACCTTTGTGGTTTGGCCCTTCCCCGAATTCCACACATAGCGGGAGCTTAGTACACCGGGCTGCCCCTAGACTTAAATAACAAACACACTTAATATCTGAGATCTGAATGATTAAGATTCAAACCTCCGTTAAATACAAACAAATTGAGGCCTAAATATACCTTCGCATTCATACATCGAGCTTTCAAAATGAGATCACTTGTTTGATTTCTTTAGGTGTATTAAATTTCATTTGTGTATGGTAATATTTTACAGTTATTAAGAATTAATTAGTTGTGTTACTTTTAAACGAGGAAGCAATGTGAGTGTAGGAAAGGACGTGGGTAGTTTTGTAAAGGGAAAAGGGCCAAATATATCCATCTACTTTCATATATTGTTTATATTTAAACTCTGTTATACTATCGGGTCAAATTTATCCCTACCATTATTAGAGCCCGTTTGGATTGGCTTGTTTTAAGTGCTTTTAAGCCAAAATAGCTTTTAAGTCATTTTGTAGTGTTTGAATAAAGTAAAAAAGTGCTTCTAAGCACTTGTTTTTAAGCTAAAATGACAACAACAAACGAAAAGCAAAAAATTAGAATTCCTAACTTATGGCTTAAAAGCTATTTTGGCAAGTAACTTAAAACAAGTTCATCCAAACGAGCTCTTAGTTATATTATCGGGCAAATTTAGCCCTACAATCAACAAACCTTATAAAATTATCTTTTGTAAACGTGTCCAGAACTATTAGGCTTACAAGTTATACCCATTCTAAAAGTTTCAACTTCCAATCATTTAAATAAACATCTGACAGTATTACTCGATCTGTCTCTCGCCATTGTATTCCTCTATTAAGCCTGAATAAAACTTGAAGGTAAGCTTCAACCCTCTTCAATTACGCGTATGAGGCTTCCTCTTTCATATAAATTCTCATGGGATCTGACTATTTTATGATAGTTAATTGCATAATAATTCTAAGAATGTGAAACATAGGAAAATCTTATGTGGGGTTTCATCAAACTTTGTGTATTATTAGAATTGTAAAGATTTTGAGTGGTTTGATGACTTTTTCTTAACTATTTAGAATTCAATTTGAAATGTGAATTTGTTTTATGTATTCAAGATTCATGCTTTTAAGTGTTTATTAATTTGGTGATTTTATGTTATTTGCAGAAATCTTGTTGTAGTGTTAGATGACTAACCGAACTCCAATTAAAACCAGCAACTCTGCACTTATTGCTATGATTGCTGATGAGGTATTTACATTAGCTTGAAATTAGCACTTGTTCTGTATACTGTATATGTTTAGAATTCACATAATCTGCTTATTTTCTTTGTATCAATGACCAAGATTTACTGTCCCAGGGCTTTGGGCTAGTGGTAAGAGCACAACAATTGATGTGTGGGTTACGCACACTTCACGAGTTTGAAATGGCATTTAAGTGGAGAAGGGTAGAGGGGCATGCCCATTATCCACCTAGGTTCGAACTGTGCACAACTGGCCCTCGAGGGTTTCTCGGTTATCAAAAACAGAGAAAAAAATTAGAAAACTGAGCTTTAACAGTTTTTTAGTTGCTTTCTAATAAGACTATGGAGTACATGCAGGGTTCATATCTGAAGCTTTTGTGTGGTTGAGCTTTAGCCATTTTAAGTATCCATGTTACACATGGAAACAACATTCTGTTGAAAAAAAATTAAGCAAAATTAATCGTCCCTTTTTGAAAATTATCTAGGTTGAAGTTTCTCATAAAGTCAATTTACGTCATAAAATCCATTGGAACCTTTTGTTAGCATTATGTTAAGGTGAAATCTGTGGATATGCAGCAGGAATTTATGAATGGGAAGTGCTAGACTAAATAAGTATGTCAATCTACCACTTAAACAAGATAAAAGAATGAAATGGTAAAAGTTGAATTAAAAACACCATTGAAAAGGAAGACTGATGCATGGATCAAGGTACTATAAAATTGTCATGATATCGTTGTCCTAAGAAATACTCATGGACGGTTTGTGTGAATGAGTTGTTGCTTGCTGACTCTTGTTTCTCTTTCTCTAGGATATTTTTTGGCTTATCAATGATGACCTGTCTTGTAATTTTGGAAGAGTCAAATCTGCGATATGCTTTCTAGCCATGCTAATCTCGTTCTGTTATTGCGATATTATCAGATATCCCTGAAGGAATAATCAACCAAGTGATTAAATGCTTAAGGGATAGCTTTACCAGCCAGACCATTGATTCTGTCTAGTTCATAGCCTAAGTGATAAAGGATAGTGGCAAGTTTACATCTTTTATGCAATTTGAAGAAATAGTATGATTTGAATACACCACTGGGATCCTGTTATATCTCTTCCTCTTGATAAATGTCCAATTCAAATATCAAAGATATCTTTACTCCTATCAAGTAATCTCAATATCTTTTGTTTTTCTAATGCAGGATACAATTACTGGATTTTTACTGGCTGGAGTTGGCAATGTTGATTTGAGGAGGAAAACAAATTATCTCATTGTGGATTCAAGTATGTTTCAACTTCAGAATTTCTGATTTCTATCACTGGGCATTGTTCTTTTTACTTTCTCTGCAGTAGCATTCACTTTCTTCCTAAATGACAGTTTCATGATGGATTATAACTTTGCTTGATGATTTGCATAAACAAATTACCCTGAGATTGCTGAAACTGTTTACCAAGGACAGAGTCATCCATACCCATTTCATGTTGCTCCACATAAAATTTGTTTTTAGTATTTTGGTAGTTTGCTCGGAAACAAAGTGCTCTGATAACAAATGTTCCCTTGTATTCTCTTGCAAAAAAGATCTTGTGTGGATAACCGCTTTCAACTTATATGTTGTAGCCTCCACTCTCCACCAAAATGATATCCATGTTGCGTAGTAGTAACTTGATTGAAGACCATATGCCCTTGTATTTGTGTTAATGGAACTTTGACGTCTAGGATTGGTATGTTCTATTTTCTCTTCCTACGTGTGAGCTAGAGCCCGTATGGCTTAGCTGATTTAAAGTAGCTGATAAGCATTAAGTGTTGAAAGCATTCGTAAAATACAAAATAAGGGTGAACGTAATAAATGATGGAAGATGTACATTCATTGTGCGCCTTGAAAATATTTATTATCACGGGGTAAACCTTGAATTTGATGGCAGTAATAAACGCATTATTTTCATATGAAATGTAGTCAACTGGGCAATAAATGCACAATGCTCAATTATTTCTTTTGTTAACACATTTTTTTGTATTTTCTACTATATTTTCACACCTATAAGTATGTGTATCTTGTAAATCATTTATATCAAGTAAGTTATCACGTTGGGAAGAACACAACTAGTTCTCTCCATTACCCCCTCCTTCCTAAGATATTTCACAAAATGAAACCAAAAAGTTAACCTGAGTATATACTGGCAATTATTTGCCTTTGATTTTTGTTGTGTCACCATTGTGAACAAGGGCTCAGACGCTTGGTTAATGATCAGGGTCTTCTGACCATTAGATCCAAGAGTGGTTACTTATATGCAATTAATGCTAAAATTTGTCTATCTGTGCTCCTCCTTGCTAGGGTCTACATTTCATTATCAAAATGGGGATCATTGCTCTTTTGTGTTTAGTTTGGCTTATGCCCTTGACTCGTGGTGCCAGTAGTAAGGGTAATGTGTGGTAAAATTGAAGGGAGAAAATAGCCATTGTTATTTGCAACATTAACCGAGATGCTTATGTCTGTCTGAGAATCTGTACACGTCTTATCTGATTATGCACTTCCACCACAATAATGACCTCACTTCCACCACTTGGTACAATAATGACCTCTGATAATTCCTTAAACGATACCAGTAAAGTGCATAAAATAGATCTGTTGTTAATATTGATCTCCAGACAAAACAGTTAGTGGAGAGGGGATGTATGAAGGAACTACTTATGTTCATTTGGTTATAAGTATTTCATCTACATTTAATTTCAATTAGTAGCTCACATATAAACTAACAGCTGAGGAAAGGATGGAAGAATAAAATGTAAGGGTCTTCTTTTGAGTGCTGGAACTTTACTTTATTTGATGTTATTCAATTATTTTTAAGAAGGGGAGCCTTGGCGTAACTGGTAAAGTTGCTGCCATGTGACCAGGCGGTCACGGGTTCAAACCCTGAAAACAACCTCTTGCAGAAATGTAGGGTACGGCTGCATGGCTTAGTGCACCGGGCTGCCCTTTTATTCAATTGTTTTTAAAAGACAGTAATCTTGATTGTTTGCCTTATGGTTTAGAAGCAACGGTGAAGCAGATTGAAGATGCTTTTAAGGAATTCACCACAAGAGAAGATATTGCAATCGTGTTAATCAGCCAATATGTAAGTTCTTTGCTATTTTTGTGTTGTGAGTTTGATTGATTAACAGTTACATGTAAAGTTATCAACAGTTTGCTGATTATGCCATCACCTGAAGAAGTATTTAACGCTGTGCAATGAGTGTTTCGTCATCTGAACTAGTCAACTGCTACTTATGTATCATTGAAATTAGTTTAGTTTGTTGAATGTGGGCTGCAAATTGGATTGACCAAAAGCAGAGTTTATCTTAACTCTGAAGTACCTAATTAGTGGCCAAACCTCAAGTGCTCTTCAGCCAAAGCAAGCTGGGATGAGAGACTTGCATGACTGACTTATGAAGTGCGATATGCTATTTGGGAAGGCTAAGCTTCCAAGTACAATCTGTCCCTGTGATGGTTCCATCAATTCTTTTGTCTAATCTCTAGCTAATACCAAGAATTTTCAAAAGCAAAGACATTAGTCATTACGAAATACCATATGAAGCCTACTTTATCTATCCAAATTTAACACTACAAAAAGTCTTAAAGTTGGATGGGCAGGAAAACAAAAGTTGGGTAAAGTTGGAAGGGTAGGAGGAGGAGTAAGAGAGGGGGAGCGAATCTTGGCCTGGGTAGGAAAGAGGAGTTCACCACTTCTGTCCAATTTCAGACTGATATAGAAACCAGGCTAAGGGCAAAAGATTTGTTGTACTGTCTCGTAGGAAAGGAAAACC